GGGGGGCAAGGGTCAACCTCTCCTAAAGTGAAAAGGAGGGGTCCCTAGACACGATATTGTCGCTACTCGAAAGTAAGAGTCAACGCCGCTAAGGCCTTGCCTTGTGCGCTGCCGTGCTGCCATCCTTATCAACCACGGCATACGTGGTCTCTGCGCCCTCTCGCGTACGACGTACTATCTCGCGTTTTCCCTCTCCTCGCAGCGCTGTGTCTCTCCGTCGTACTACGGCCGGCCTCCTAAGGGAAATTTAGTGTTTTCTATGGTGCTTTTTGCTTTTTCTCCTCACTAATGTTCCTCATTGCACCCCTTGCCTAATTTTCAAACAAAATAACGCATCAATTCAATCCCGACTCGTGCCTTTGAAGCGAACCAGCGTTTTCTCTGCATACATTCAGGCAAAGTGTAATCTACGTTTGGTCCTATTTTCTTCATACCGCAGTTATGTTAGCAAAATTGTAGATCTACTTCAATACTCATAAGCATAAGCGAGGCATAAGCATAAGTGCTAGCGCCCGTGCTAACAATTGCTTTCAAAATAAAGCTATCTTTACCACATGAAGCGTTATCTTTCATGGTCTATTGATGCCGAAAAGCCGCGCTTACACTGAAATTGCAACTGCAGTTCAACGGTTGGAACAATGAAATGGAGAAATGAATGCGAAACTTTCAAAGGTTCTGTTTGAACGCATTGGACGGCTTTTGTCCTTTCAAGGCAACAGTACAGAGCGAGCTCACATCGCTGAAAAAGGACGTGGAGGGGCGTGGGAAGTGAGACCGCTAAGGGTTTGCTTACTTTCTGGCTTGACGTCTCCCAGCAAGTAGGCAAGACAGGGTAAGTAGAAAAAGATCTTGCGGATTTTCCTGTTCGCACATGCACATTATTATAGAGAAGAGCGAGGCAATGTCGAAAGTTTCTCGAGAGCAGTTGTTATTTGTTCCTCGGAGGAAGGAAGAAGGGGACGCGCCCATTGTGTAGGGTAGGCCTTGTGCTTCCTAACGGGCGTTGTAGGAATTAGTCACTTTGTGAGATTTTTTGGAAAATCTGTGGAAATTTTGAGAGATTCCCACGAAATTTGGCAGAGTCTCAAGAATTATTCCTTATCAATTTATCTTTCCACTGCCTTCACATATAAGCAAAAGCATTTTTCTGGATAAAGTGCGGTATAGTTTCTAGTCAGATTTAAGAGGGGTAGAGTTGGACCTCATGACCGAAATGCTCTGCGGGATCCTAACTGAAGACCAGGGGTCTTCATCGAAAGTGAGGTGACGCCCAGAACAAGGCTGATTTTCACAGCTTGTATTGTCTTCGCCATTGCGACTGAATCTCCAGCTCACCAGGAAAGGTCATTTGGTCAACCCGGCCAATTGAAATGAGATGTATATGTGTATACGCGCCTTGGGACGCTGAGCTCAAATATGTGTTCCTTATCTGCTGAACTCTTCTCTGAAAGGAATTATGAAGCAGAAAAGCGCAGGGGCTGTGGTCGAGGCTCACGAAAAAGAGGTCAGGGGATCAACTCCCTGGCGAGTTTGCCGTTTGCAGTAAGATAGCTAGGAAGACTCCTAACATCGCTAGTCCAACATGCTTGCGTATAGTTAACAGTACAAAGAATTTAAGGGCAATTAATAACGAACTTGGGCGGCATCGCTCCTCACTACTTTGGGCGCTTGTAGCGCAGGCGCCAGGCATTTTTGCTTCGAACAAGTATGATATTCGTAATCAGGGAGCCAGACTCTCCCTTTGAGCAAACTTCTAGCGAATTCTGAAATTTTGACCTAACCTCGAAAATTTGGGCAGTCACTCACCGATCCACCAATCCATTACAAAAGGCTGGCACTTGGGTAGAATAAACCTTTTAAACACTTTTCATAATAGACAAAAATTGTGTCTGGCTTGCCCGTCTGCATCATCCAAAGATCTGCAAAGCATTATTTCCTAATACAACACCTTCTCTCCCCTTTCCCCGTCGTCCATGATTGGGAGTTTGAGGAGTGGTAATCCCATCACTGCTCCGCTTTTTCTCAATTAGTTCATGACCTCAGATTTGGCGAAAAACTCGTTTTTAGGGGTAGTTTGATCCCCTGAATACGAATATCGTACCTTGCCGGAAAAGCATAGCACCTGCACTACGGGCACCATGGGCACTCACAGACAAGTAGTGCTTAAATTTAAGAGGGTCTGCTTGCAAACTCTTCGTAGATGTAGCGTCGGGCGACCGTTGATAAAATAACGGATTCAAAAAGGCTTTTTAGCCATGTTGGAAAAAGCAAAGCACAACCCCGGAGGGGTTCGAACCCCGCCTTACATAAAAGCAAGACCGCTACCAACTGCGCCACACCTAGTCACCACCTGCCCACGGTTCTCATTTCGATACTTTCACAATGCAGTTAAATGTGATTGCAGGTAAAACACTGAAAATCAAGGGCGGCAACAAAAACCCTCCGTAACTCCTTTCAGAGAAGAGTTCAGCAGATAGTGAAAGCAGATTTGAGTTCAGCGTCGTCATGCTGCGTACAGAAATGTGCACCTCATTTCATTTGGCCGGGTTGGCACCCTTCCTGTTAGCATTAACCCGGCTCCGCTTCCTGCTTTGAAACCTTCTTATCTGTGAGAGATAGTTTCAGGTTTGAGTGGTCAACTATTCTAGGACTTCATTATATCAGTATTCACTCCGAGTCAGACACTGCCAACAGACGTGCTCAAATCGACGGCCGCGACGCAGGCGCCGATGTCTACGGACAGCTTGAACTCAGTGATCGTCACTAGGGACAGGGGCTGGCTCCGCGTCAATAAAATGATGCACCCGCCGACGGAATTGACACCGCCGTGTGCCATCTCAGCGCACGGTCTAAATGTCGGGTAATGGTGGCGGGTTTGCTAAGTTGGTTAACGTTTAGCAATGCGGATTGAGCGTCTTGGTAGGAGTTGGTTTTGCTGGGAGGCATGGAAGAGGTGCCAATATAGATCGCAGGGGGGGGGGGGGGGGCGGGCAATGGAAACATCGTGTCAAGTACGGAAACGCTCCGTTTTAGGACTAAGCTTTTGAAGAAGAGAGGAACTCCGGTGTACGGAAGCAATTTCGTATTCTCCGGAGTTCGTCCCTGCTGTTTAGGCTTAGTCCTAGATGACTTTTCTCAGAGTGCCCCCCCCGAGCCACATTGCTCATTGAAGTTTAAGTTAAGAATTCAGGTTTGAAGGGTTTGGTTGACCTGTATATGGATTAGCTAACTAAGTTGGCTACTGTGTGAAAAGACGCAGTTTCCGGGATTTACGAAATCTTGTATGTGTCATTGTTAGTGATGAAAGAACTAAGTCCGGATGGGCCGGTTGTCTAGTTAAACCGCATGGGTTCGATTACTACTGCACGAGAAAGGACTAGCACTCGAATCATTTAGTAATAACTTTCGCTGCACAGCTGGATGTGGCGCTGCGGCTCGCTCGCGCGACGGCACCTTTCACATCAGTGCATTGAGGGAAAGTAGTTTCGTAAACGTTCAGTTGAAACCGGAATATTGGGCTCAAGGACGACTCGCTCGCTCGCGCGCTCGGTTCCTTTTTCAATTAGCCCAGCACTGGAAGTTCGTGTCGTTTGATCGTGAAGCAATGCTACTGCGTGCCGGCCCATTTAAGGGAGGTTTCTATTGGGTCGTGTTTTTCTCTGACTGCCAAAGAAGCAAGTCAAAAATGAAATGAACTGAATAACTGCTGAGGCCGTTTTAGTCACAGTGGCAGGTTATGAATAGATGCGTATGTTCTTGGGATGTGAAAATTCGAAATACCTGACTGATTGTACAAGGCCGATGATGCGTGGTGTATCTGTGTGTCATATTATATGTGGGAATGGTTTTAAAAGTTCTGAGCTTATCTTAGTTTCGGGGACGGGGTTTGTCTCCTGGGGCGCCGCCGGCCGTCGCAGCGCGCGATCCGAGCGGCGGGGCAGACCGGACGGCCCCGGCCTGGGGCCGGGTGCAGCAAGCCCCAACGAGGGGATGGGTCCCCTAAACTCTGCATCTCTGGACTCTTCCCCTATTCTTAACCACGAGAGTTGCGTCATCGACAGAGTGGAGACACAGAACTTTGGGGACCCATCCCCTCGTTGGGGCTTGCTGCACCCCCCGGCCCCAGGGCGACACGTCGCACGCGGCGATCGACGCGGCGAAGGCTGTGGTGGTTGGATGTGGCGGTGTGATTTATTAGCTGTGGAAACAATATGGTTTTAGCCCTCTTCCACTCTTTTGGCTGTTGGAGTGAAAGTTCGTTAATTTTATCGATTCGTTACTGCCGAATGAGCAACTTAGGCGCTGTTTGAGTGACCTGTTTAATTTGGCTGACCCCCTTCTCCCCAATGGCGTGAAAGAGAGTAGATCATGCAGTATGGCGATATGTTTTCACATGACGCCCATCTACATGCGTTAATCGCCGTTTACTATGGGCATCGTTCCTCAGATGTTTCCAAAAAAAAAAAAGAAAGTTCCAATGTTCTCCGCAGCGTTTCTTAATTTCCAAACTTAATTTCTGCCGCTCATGTCCATGGGAGACATCAAAGTGGAAGAGCCTTACTGTGCTTGGGACAAGCCACCTCGTCACTTGACAATCAAATGTGAAGGCTGCAACGGTGGACAACAGCATGGACTAGTAAAAACCTCCACATCGCAGAATCGCCGCACACGCGACGAGCCCGATCGCCGCGTGCGGCGGCAGCCTGACCCCAGGAAGGACAAACGCCGACCCATTTCTAAACCTGTTTGGCCGTGAGTCTAGACACAGTGTGTGGCATGCCGGCGGTAACAATTCTTATTTGAGGCGGCTGCCCTCTGTCCCTAGTGCGAGCGATCAGTCCTTTAAACCGTCGCGATTTGATGCACGGATTTCAAAGTTCTATGTACCTAACTTTCTTCTTTGCATTGCCTGATGGTTCAATTTGAACCTGGGTTGACTTATTTTTGTTCTGGTATTCGCATACTTATTCTGCTGCATTTTCTTTTCAGAAACGGACGATATGTCCACTTTGAAGAAGTGCGAAGACGAATTTGAAGTTTTGACGTCCGATCTGCGTCAAATAGATCTCTACAGAGATACTCCCATAAGGTATTTAGGTAAATTCGAATTATTTGATTTTGTTTGGATTCTTCACTGTTTAGGAATGGATTTCCGTACTTTAAGAATGAGTACGAAGTAGCTCTTCAAAATCCTCAGTTACTTTCCTGTTTTGCTTTTGTTTTATCCATTACGTGTTTATTGTTAAGGTTACGCGAATGAAATCGGAGAAGCATTCCGATCAATGCTTCCAGTAGCTGCAGTCCGATCAACGTATGTAGTGGCTTTAGGATATGCTTGTGCTGACGCTCTAGACAAAAGCAATAAGGCGTACAAGGTGAGTCCAAGTTTCAATAACAATTCATTATTTGTTGTTGCGGTTCTCCTAGAATGCTATTGGCATTCTTCAGCTATTACGGCCCCAAAATCTCAATGTTTTTTGTCGTCGAAATCTTTGCCTTTTGGGGTCGCTCCTTGTCCTGATAACCAACATGACATGCATTTTTGGCGCTAGGGTTATTTGGTGCAACTTTTGCGCTAACTTGGTGCTACACTCCTTCACGCTGTAAACGTGTTTGCTCTGAGCGCGAACATGGTACTCGTTTCTCATTCGTTTAATGCCTTTTTTTGCGCACCACAGTCGAGCAGTGGCGCCAAACTGGCGCCGTAAATCTCCTGCACCAAAATTAGATATCATAATCCTAATCAGCACGCTAAATTCCTACAGAAGGACAGGTGGTGGCGTCGTGATAGTCGAATTGTTCCGAGTTTACCTTTTATGCTTATAAACCTATCGGTTGTAGCTCGCTGTAACAGAAAGCGACTTTTTCGTGGGTCGCAGCGTGAAATATTTTTGCCGGGAGAACTTCAGGTCCACTCATAATCCGCGGTGGAGTGTGGTTCTCGTACAAGAAATGTTTTGCGCTGCGAAATCGAAAAGTCGATTTCTGTCCTAACGAACTACAACCATACCTACCGCCAGAGTTTTCTTCACTCTCCTCTCCCCGTTTTGTACATTCATCATATTTTGCCTTTTTATATGCTTTTCCTCTTTCTCCGCAGTTCTCTGGCTTGGCTCCCAGACAATACCTAACCATTTGGGCGCGGCCGCGGCGAACGCGGCCGAGTTGATAGGTGCCCGCGAACTCAGCACAGCACAGTTCGCGGGCACCTCGAGTGCGTTTTCAACGGTTCGCGGGCACAATCGACTCGGCCGCGTTCGCCGCGGCCGCGCCCAAATGGTTAGGTATTGTCTGGGAGCCCTCTGGCTTTTATTTACTACTGAGCTAGTCTGCAACTTCCTTTCTCCACTTATATTTCAATTGTATCTTACTTTCGTTTTCGTCATTTTATCCTTCCATCGCTTTTCTCTTTCCCTTTGGCGCATCTTGCATTTCGTTCACCTTTATCCAGCTGCTTTTAAACCCCTTCTTTCACTTGTTCACTATTCTCCCCTTTTTATAATTTTACTGTTTGTTTACCTATCTCTTATGAGTAAAACTCCCTAGCTGTTATACTTATATACAGCTCTTTGGCTTTTTTTTCCTATGCAGCAATACCTTACCTTTCGCTCCAATCTCGCTGACATCATTTTCTCAGTCTTCTGTTTCTTACCAATTCTCTATAGTTTCTAACTTTTTGTTCCATATCTGCTATGTCATCTATCCTTCTCTTACGGTTTAATCCTACAACGTTTTCGATTCATTTGTTCCATAGACTTTTTGAGAAATCATCAGGGAATCGCATACTGCTTTCTATGCAGTTGTATGTTCATGCCATGTATTCATCCAATTATTACAGAATTGCTGAAGAAAGCAGTCCTCTAACGCACTGACAAGCGTCCGTTGTGCGCGTAACTTGGCATTTTTTTTTCAGAATCGTCATCACTCCTTCAATAATTACACGAATAGTAATAGTAATTACACTAATAAGTAAATAGTTGGTGCATTGCTTTCCGGATAAGATAAGGTAGACAAGCAGTTCTGAGACATTAAAAATGCCGAATAACACGAGGAGAACGAGCCTGGTTTTGAGAAAATTTGGAGCGCATGCGCGTCATGCTGTTTTCAGTGTGTTAGTTTGCAAATCAGTATCATCAAGTTGTGCTCCTCCTTCCTTTCCAGTGATTTCGCTTCTGCATTTTCATCGTTCGTTGAAAGGTGTCGCCGCCAACTACCCTCGCCTTCAAATAACCAGAAATTGTGCAATTGCAGAAATTGACGTGGCATTAACGTGGCATCGATTCAAGAACATCTTTGAGCACACGTGACGTCACCTTTTCATCGAGAATTTAGCCACGTGTGCCACGTGGATTTCTGGCTGCATGAAACGGAGTGTACTGCGGCGTACGCTTGTGCTCTTTAATCATCCATCTATCCCTCTTCATTCGTCCCAAAGATTCCTATTCTCTTCATTCTGCTTTTCATAAATTGTTAATGCATTTGGATATTTTGTCTTACTTTCACTGTTTTTTATTTTGAAAAAAGTTCGGTGTAGTATGTAGCAATCGTTGGCAATTATTTCAGTTATATAGGAACAATCCCGAGAAACGGCGCACTAAAGTTGCGATTGCCGCCGGAGACACGTTTCTGTGGCAGGCTCTAGCTTCCGTTGCTATTCCTGGCTTTACAATCAATCGAATCTGTCATTTTTCTGCTGCTATTCTGAGCAGGTTTGTTCCTTATTCGCTCTCGTTCACTTGTCTATATTCAATTATTATACCATTAAATGTTTTTGAGAACTACAAGAAACGCCATGAATATGGAAACAAAATAATTATGGCACAGAAATTTAATTCGACTAATACGCGATGGTACTTCAAAATTACTTATCTTTGATTGCAATAAGGAATACTTGCGAATTATTCATTAGTTATGGTTAGCTTTCGCTCAAATCACGACTGGTAGACCTTCAGGATCGACCACGGCACGCAGGGTTTTTGAAAAATTTTTGCCATTATCCACAGACTTCTTCACTGATCCAGTTGTGCTATGTGACGAAGTGCGACTCTTTTCTTCAAAGTCGAGCTCTTCTGAACTGCGTTTAGTGGGCTGGCCATTAACTAAAGCCAGGGATAAAATCGCCAACATTGGTGTGACACCAGTTTGAGACTCCTTCCTTCGCGAATCCTAGCTCCGTCATGTCGAATGGTCCCCATTGTGGTCCTGAGAAGCTTTTGTGTGATTGTGGCTTTCTTTGGAGGGTGGAGGGGCGAGAATTCTCATTCAGAAGCACGAAATTGCGCATACGATGAGAAATGAGTGGGGAACACGATGCGTGCCCTCTTTCTGTGCTTCATGACTCGCATTTCTAAGTCTTGAGCTTAAAATCCAATCAAATGTAAACAAATAGTGTTCATGACATGTGTGCATGCACCCTCAAAATGTACTCGAAATTCCACAAGCTATAACTCGCCCAGAGGCGACCTTATCCAAGTTCTCGCCGCTATTCCGTTACTATGGTTCAAAGTAGATATTTGTGAAGACCCATCACGTCTCATTTCAAATTACTTTTCCTGTGCCATAACATCTTTGCCACCATATTCATGGCACTTCCTGTATGGTGGGTCAAGCTGTGTTAGTGATGAGGTAGTGTTTCGAGAGATAAGTTAAATGCTTGAAGTTTTCCACTCTTATCTTAAATTCCACTCACTTTTTACCAATTTGGCGGGGGGGGGGGTGAAATAATCGAAACAGAGCCGATTCAGATGACACTAACAAGGAGGGTCTTTCAGGGTAAGCCGCGCTTTTTTATAACGGTTACTTACATGTCGCAGAGACCCATGTAGAGAGCACAATACCAAGTTTCATTTTTCCTGAAC